TTGGTAGCTGCTGCTGCTGCTTGGTAGCTGCTGCTGCTGCTGCTGATGCTGCTGCTGCTTGGTGGCTGCTGCTGATGCTGCTGCTGCTTGGTAGCTGCTGCTGCTGCTGCTTGGTAGCTGATGCTGGTGTTGCTTGGTAGCTGCTGCTGCTGTTGCTTTGCTGCTGCTGCTTGGTAGCTGCTGCTGCTGCTGCTTAGCAGCTGCTGGTGCTGCTGCTGCTGCTTGGTAGCTGCTGCTGCTGCTTGGTAGCTGCTCCTGCTGCTGCTGCTGCTGCTTGGTAGCTGGTGCTGCTGCTTGCTAGCTACTCCTGCTGCTGCTTCGTAGCTTCTGCTTGCTGCCGCTGCCGCTGCTGGTTACAGTTATTGTTGTTGTGGCTGTTGCTGCTGCTGCTGCGGTTGCTGGGGTGGTTGTGTGTTGCCATGTGTTGGCTGTGTTGGGGTCGTATTGGGGGGGCGCTGTTGGCACTCTCCCTTTCCCTTGGCCATGGCATGTTGCGATTCCCGGCCAGGCTTTTGCTGCCTAAAGAGCCCCAGCGTTGTTTCTTTGCCTAGCTTTCGCCACCCCCCTCTGGGCCACAAGTAATCTATAGGTTCTTTTCTGAGGTGTTATAGAAAGGAACACTTGCTTTTTGCTGCAGGTTCATGTCCACCAGCCGTGTAGCTTGAACAGCTTTTTCATGATACAACCAGGCCCTCTCTGGCTTGCCCTGGATCCTCCTTCCTGTGCAGGCCTTGGCGGAAGCTTTAGCGCCCTTGCCGCCCCCCAGCCAGGCGGAGAAGCTGGGCTGTGGGAGAAGATGTGAAAAAAAAAACATTTATTGGATGGATTTCATACACACATATATATATATATATAAAGATCGTTCGCATTGGAGCACGGCTTCTTCATCGAACAAATCAATGACTTTCACACCAAACCGCACCGCACTGGGTTTCTTGCCAGACTCCCAGCCAAATCCCAAATCCCGACGTTCAATTCCAGAAACGCACCCATGCCCAGATCGGACTGGAAGAGTTGCTGAATTACATCGGATGGGTCGTGAATGAGGCAGTATGTACACCACCTGGAATCAGAATCATCATGGAAGTGGATGGCATGGCCCCACAAGGAAGACTGAAGACCCTTTTGACCTATAAACAGCTGGTGAGCTCACTCCACGTAACCATCATGATTCCAGGGAGTGTGAGTGGCATCCCATTCCAGTCCCATATCATCCCATGTCTATCTGGCTCACAGTCTTCGCTGTGATGCTTTTTGATGGTCACATTCTTGCCCCCACATCAGATGTAGGAAGAGACATATGTTTGGCATGTTTGAATAGCTAGGCATGGAGGAAGGCTGCTTGGTGACTGGCTGACTGGCTGCTTGGTGACCATGTTTTGCGTAGGGAGAGTGAGTGGCTGACTGGCTGCAGGCGACCTACTGGGACAGCACCGCCGACTACGTGGCCTCATGGAGTCCAGCTGTGGACCTAGAGGCCGCGGCTAGTGCAGCAGATGAGGCTGGGCTGGCCTTCTATGGGCGACCAGACAAGGTTTGGGAAGGTTTGGCATGGCATGGGAGGTTTTTTGAGCTACATCATACACATGCATATATGAAAAAGCAGATACATCAGATCTCGGAGGAGGATTTGAGTTGCAAATGAAGTTACGGAAGGTTTGTGTTGCAAACTTTGGTTGAAAACAAATATGCATTCCTCCGCGACGTAAGGACATGCTTGGACTGACCAACCGAAACCCACCGAAACCCACCGCCGCCTTCGGCGCCTTCTGATGATCGGTCCCATCTCCCGGTCTCCGGGACCCCACCGAACGACATCACGACGACATCTCGGTTAGAGACTTCGTCTACGTCGTGCGTCCGTGTGGACCACGGGTGCAGGATGACACGCGCATCTTGTGCAATGTGGAGATCACCTGGGGCAACTCAGCGCATGTTTTTGGTGCTTCGCAGCCGGTGAAACGGTGAATGCTTCTGAGTTTGGAAGGGTTTTTGGACGGTGAATTGCGTAAGTTTTGGAATGGTGTTTGCAGGAATTGCTGGGTGGTTTCAGACATTTTATGTCTTTTTGTTGACCTTTGCACCTGGTTCCACCTTCACTTTTGGGATGATTGAACCCACTGACAAATATCGTGGTTGTTTGTGAGTTGAAACCACCAAGCAGCGCCTGCAAGACTCGGGCTCTTCCAACGTTTTGGAGACTCAAGACCTTCGGAGACTTGGGGGTGTTTTCGGTCACTTGGGTTTGCACAGGGGAGACCAGAGGAGACTCAAGACAGGTAACTTTTGGAACATGTTGTCCTTTCTTAGTTTTGGAATGGTCCTGATCAAAGCGGACTTCCACACGGAGTACAGCACCATAAAGAAGGGAGCAAGCCAAGTTAAACCTTCACAGGGCAACGAAGGTTTGCCATCAAGCCATGTTTCAGAGATCACGCCATCTTTGGCGTCTCACAATTTTCCCTTGAGACAGGATTAACGAACTGGCACCTTCAGTCTCACCAAACCAACTATATATATATATATAGTCCATAGTTTTGCAACTATAGTTACCAGTGCCATCCAAAAATCTTGCACCTGCTCATCCCACCCTTAGCAGGTGCAACAAAAACACCGCTCCCAACCCTTCAACCACCATCCACCATATATATATATATATATATGTTCTTATAGACTGGCCTCTCAACATATCAGGGCTCTAACCAGAACGGGCGCGCGACCAGTCCACCCGACCCTGCTGAGGCGAGCGCCGCGGCAGCTTCGCCGTGCCCAGCGGCTTGGCCTCGGCGCATCGCATGAAGCTCCGCGGACTCGTGCAAGGCCCGGCACCGGACGTCAGAGCAGCACATAGCGCACAAATCAACGCGCATAGCACATGGCCCAATGGTGTGGAGAGGTGGTTTACATGATCCTTTGAGGAGCCGATCCATCTTTTCTTTGATGTGGTCAGTGCATATATATTAAGTATATATATATATATGGTATATATTGTGGTCAGTGCACATATATATATATATATATACGTTTATACTATTGTATTATGTTGTCTGGATCCAACACGAACTAGTTGTAATACGCATCGCGAGAAACATCTCCAATCCCTCACTTCAGTCTCCCACCGTGGAGACCCAACAGCTCCAAGGTGCCGATGGTCCAACGGAACGCTCCTCCGGGTGGCTTTGCTTACGACGGCCCGGAAGTGGCGCTGGCGCGGGCTGGAGTGGCCGTGCAGGCCCAAACGGGGTTCGCCCCGCCGAGGTCTTTGTCCGTCCATTCTAGCATCGCTACGAAAGGGGCTCCTGGCTGTACTACTAGGAACAAGAAGCTATTTGAAACCAGATATTCCATATTGTATATATGTTGCAAAATGAGTTCTCTCTTACGGAGTAGCAGGCAGAGAGCCACCTGAGCCGGCTCTAGGAACTAATTCTGCCTTTCAAAAAAGATGCCAAACATCTCAATGGCTCATGCAACCAGCAGCCTGTCTCAGGCTTGATTGCCGCCGAAGTGGTTTGCGACGATGGCACCGCGCAGCCGCTGGAGGTCCGGGGTTTTCATGGGTGACACGGCTGAGATGACCACAGGAATGACTCTGCTTAGCCAGACGTTCCCATGTAGAATAGATGTCTAAGTTCTGGTTTCAAGAGTCAATGTAATCAATGTAGTATAGGTTTATGTATTCCATGCATGGCATGCAATGGAGTCTTTGTTTTGTTTGAACCTATGAGCAGACATGGTGGAGGACGCCGAATGGGCAGTTGCGGTTTTGATGTGGGAATGCTACCTGGTCCACATGTTTCCTCCCGGTCCACGCAATGGTTGAGCCATGTCCAAGCCAGGTCTGGACCCATTGCAGAGGAGAAAATAGCAAGAACTCAGCTGGCCACTTGTTGTCAGGCGTTGCGTTCCATGTGAGTATGTGTTGTCATGCTCGGCTGAGACACCTCGAGTTGTTTTCAAAGCTCGGCGTCCGCCCTTGAGGGCAGCTACTTGCTACTACAGTAGTAATGGCCTCCAACCTGCTAGCGATGGCCTCCAACCTACTTTATAGCGATGGCCTCCAACCTACT